CTGCCTAGGAACTCCCGCCCCACCACTGACTAGGACATCTGTTACGTGCTGACACTGCAGCAAGAGGGCTCAGGAGACCGGCTGCACCCACGCCAGCACCTGCATAGCCTGGCCCCAGTGTCAGGTTGACCAGTGGACTTGGAGGGGCCCAGAGGGACCATCTGTAACCCAGAGATGACAGCTGCAGCCCCCGCATCCCCCTGCCCCTGCACCACTCCACTGTCCCTGCAGCAGAGCAAATGGGCTTTTTCAGGAGCTGAGGATGATGGGGAGGTGTCTTTCTGTCCTCCTCCTTGCAAGGACACAGTGCCACAGTGCCACTACCTGAAGACTGAACCCACCCATGGAACTGGCCAGGGCTCTGGGACATGGAAAGTGGCTGCCTGAGCTCCGTGGTTGCCTCCTCCTTCCCACCATTCCTTCCCAGGCCCCAAAGGAGGTGCTTGAGGTAGCAACAGGGACTCAGGTAGAATCCAGAGGTTGAGAGAATGTCCAAGAGATCCCAAGAATCCATAGTTCATTTTCTCATCCATTCATTCATTGCACATAGTACGAGAAGCCCTGAGATAAGGGAGAGGCACAGACAGCCCTGGGGGGGGTGGTAGTGGCTTAGAGAACAGAAGGGTTGTTGTAATGCCGCGTCATCAGCGCTGTCCAGCCATGTAACGCCACGGGAACATAGAATGTGAGCAGCTTTTGCCTTCCCGAATCAAGCAAGGTTTCATAGAGGTGGGGACACTTGGTCTGGGTCCTGAGAGATGGGTAGGAGTTCCTGTCATGGGAAAGAGGAAAGCACATTCCATGTGCAAGGGAATGGAACATTCGAGAAATAGATCAAGACAACCACACCAAAGAAAATAGTGCCCAGAGGGGAAGGGGAAGGCTGAAAAGGTAGAAGATGGTGAGGGAGACAATGCTGAGGGGTGAATCGGGGAGAAGGGCCCGGGGTGGAGTGGGACAGGGAGAAGGCCCAGGGTGGAGTGGGACTGGGGAGAAGGGACCGGGGTGGAGTGGGACTGGGGAGAAGGGCCCGGGTGGAGTGGGACTGGGAGAAGGGCCCGGGGTGGAGTGGGAGTGGGGAGAAGGGCCCGGGGTGGAGTGGGACTGGGGAGAAGGGCCCGGGTGGAGTGGGACTGGGAGAAGGGCCCGGGTGGAGTGGGACTGGGGAGAAGGGCCCGGGGTGGAGTGGGACTGGGGAGAAGGGCCCGGGGTGGAGTGGGACAGGGAGAAGGGCCCGGGTGGAGTGGGACTGGGGAGAAGGGCCCGGGGTGGAGTGGGACTGGGGAGAAGGGCCCGGGGTGGAGTGGGACTGGGAGAAGGGCCCGGGGTGGAGTGGGACTGGGGAGAAGGGCCCGGGGTGGAGTGGGACTGGGGAGAAGGGCCCGGGGTGGAGTGGGACGGGGGAGAAGGGCCCGGGGTGGAGTGGGACTGGGGAGAAGGGCCCGGGGTGGAGTGGGACTGGGGAGAAGGGCCCGGGGTGGAGTGGGACTGGGGAGAAGGGCCCGGGGTGGAGTGGGACTGGGGAGAAGGGCCCGGGGTGGAGTGGGACTGGGGAGAAGGCCCGGGGTGGAGTGGGACTGGGGAGAAGGGCCCGGGTGGAGTGGGACTGGGGAGAAGGCCCTGAGGTGTTCTGCCTCGGGGCTGGAGAGGTCCCTCCTGGGTTTGGAGAGGTGCTGGGCAGGTACAGCCCTCCCAGCCTCCCTGATGAACACTCAGGCCAGGGCACTCTTCGAGGGTTACCGAGGTCGAGGTCGTAATTCACGTAATGCTGTCACTTGTGCCGCACACAGAGGGACCCACCCAGGGGGAGGGTGAAAGAGCAAGGCGGCCAGGAAGCTCACGGAAGACAAGCCGTAAATCAGAGCAGCACGAGGGAGGGAGGGAGACCCCGCGGGATGCGTGGAGGAGAAGGAGAGGCGTGACTTGCAATGGGCCGCGGACGAAGCGGGACAAGGAAGAGCCTCAATGGAACCTTTCGCGCTCCTGCTTCCCCTTCCTTCGCACCCAGTCTCTTTTTTGTCCTCCTTTTCCCCAGTTGAGTTGGGGGAGGGAAGGACAGCCGAAGCCCGCAGGTTGAGGCCAAGCTCATTGCAGGCCGGTGGCCGCCCTCTCTCCGCCACCCGACAGGACCGTGCACGGGGTCCCAGCCCGAGGGCGGCGCGGGGGCGTGGGCAGCCCGGTGGCCTGCGGTTTCCCTGCGGGTCTTGGAGGTTTTTCTTAGGGAAGTGTCTGCCATCTTGTGGCTGAAGCTGGTACTGCCGGGGCCCACCGGCAAACCTCCCGTCTGGGCTCCCCAAGGGGTCCCTGGGCCGGCATGTGGCTGCCAGCCGTGGAGGAGAGGAGGAGGGCAGTGGCACCGGCCTCCCTGGGTGGACCACCTTCCTCCCACGCTGCGCTCAGGGAATTTTCTGGAGACAGCGGCTGCGCCTGAAGGGGACAGGGAAGAGGGTGGATCTCAGACACAGGCAGGCTGGGAGGTCCGCACAGGGGTTGGCCACCGAACACGGATGCCTCCCGTAGACAGGCACAGTCAGCCCAGGGCCGGGGCGAGGCCCCCCAGCAGGTGGTGCCAGGTGCGGAGTGGGTGGGCCCTCTGAGGGTGATCACACCTGTGGGCCCTGTGAGCCTGTGAATCCCACTCACATTGTGAATTCGCAGCCCCTGGGTGTTCGATCTTTTATTTGCTATTTGGATACAGCTACAACAGAGGAGAGATTATTTGACATCTCTCAGTTCTCCAGTTCTCCCAACTTGGCTGGGGCCGGGAATGTGAGGCCCTCCTGGTGCCTTTTTCTCTTCTCCAAGCTCCTTGGTGCTGCCTGGAGCAGATGGCATCCCCAACCCCCACCCCACGGACATCGTCCTTACTGTCCTCACCAGAATCCTCCATTCCCACAGCCACCTGGCATCCCAAAGTCTTCCTTCAGCGGGCAACTTCTTCACGGGCAAATGCTAGCGATCGTTTCAGTCACACTGCGGGCACATGCTCCATCTCCAAGGCGGTCATTGCTAACTCTAAATCTACCCCTGTTAGTTAGCCAACCCACGTTCTCTTTCTTAGAGAGGCTGTTCCCTGAAAACAATCTGGAACCAAATGCTCCGTGAGCTGGGGCCAGTCATGGAAACAGAAAGCTTCCATTTCCATCAAGCTGGATGGATTCTACAAAAGGAATTCAGTGTTTACAGAATCGTTAGCAGGGCTGTTAGCGTGAAGGTCAGGAAAAAGCACCCCAGGATTTCAGGATACCAAGAAGATACTGAAATTGCCGGAAGTCATCGTGGATGGCATTCCACAGGCTCTGTGGGGAGGGCCGGGAGGAGCTGGCAGAGTCTCTGGTCTCCTTCCTGCAGAGTCCTGAGCTCATCCTCACAGCTGCGCCCTGCAAAGAATAGCTTCTCCTTTTACGTAGCCTGCCAAAATCTCTCATTGGTGGAGTCTGAAGCGGGGCCTTGCTGGCGGCAGAATCTGGGGAGTGCAGTCTGCAGGCTTTCCGCCTGTGCAGTACCGGGGTGAGCTGCGAATGTCAGGGACCGAGGCTCAGTATCTGACACACACTTTTAAACACGGGTGATAATAATAGGACTTCCTTCCCATGGCAGTTGTGAGGCTAAAATTAATACTTGTGAAGTCTTTGCACAGAGCATGGCATATGGTAGACCCTCAATAATTGCTAGTTTACAAAAAATTGTCAAAACTGAAAATAGAATGGCTCCTCATTCTCATTTCTAACCCCTGTAAAAACACTGGCTGCCTCTGAGCTGACTGGTCCAAGCCACCAGCCTTGGCAGAGAACCTGCCCCTTAGCGTTCTAGGCCTGCCGGGCCTCGGGGCGGCTCAGACGGCTAAACAGAGATGCAGGAAATAGGTGACCTTTCTCATGAAAAAACCCGAAGCAGTGAATCATGCTGAATATTAATACTGGATTTGCTGTGCTTGGCAGACTTGAGGACTTCATCTCACATGGACCAGTGGACAGTCAGGGTGTGGTTGGCCCCTCGTGAAAACCCAGGTCTTTGCTCTGCTTTGTGGCTCTGTACTGAATGGAGGCAGTGAGAACGGGGTTGAGCCTCTGTGGCCCTCTTCTCACGTGCTCCAAGCAACCTGCCACAGGAAAGAATTAGGGCACAGCTGAAATCCAAAGGGAAAAAGAAGCAGGCTGGAATCCACAGGGAGCAGGATCTATTTCTTAGTCTGTCTCCTGCCCCAAATAGCCCCTTTCCTCTCCCAGCTTGTGTTGATGCGTCTTTCCCTGGCAGCAGAGGCCACTGGGATGTAAACTAGGCTGCAGAAGATGGTGATGAGCCACAGCCCACGTCCTTCCCTGCCCTCACTCCCCAGGCTCCCTGGCCTTGAGTTCAGAGCGAAGACCCCTAGTAACTCCTGCTCACCAGGATGTCCCAGCAGAGCCCTGCTCCCCAGAGCCACAGCAAGTGGAGGGGACCCTCTGTCTAGCCTGGGAGTGGGCTGGGGTCCTGTTCCTGTAGGTTGGCAGACAGGATAGTGCCAGGTAGTGCTGCAGCCATTCCTCCCGCCCCTGCCCATCCTTACCCTGCCCACCCCTTTCCTTCCCTCCCACTGTGGTCCTGCTGAGCCCTCTCAGGGACGTCCATTTGTCCTCAGGGAGAGCAAGGGGGCCATGCTCACCTGCTTTTTCCCCTGGGAGAGCTTTGGGGCCAGTTTCAAAGAGGACCACAGCGTCCGAACCAGGGCCCCCCCTACATGCTCCTGGAACAGCAGGGCTATAGAAATAGAGTGTAAATTACAGATTTAAAAATCAGTTGGAAACCCAAGTTCAGTTCCCAGTCAACTGAGGCACAGCAAGGTAAGTCCCTGCTCGGCATTGTTCTGCTTGGAATGCACAGAACCCAGCCTGAAGCGACCCACCGCGCGTCCTGAGCCATGCGTCCACTCCCTGCAGCCCTGGCCCCTGAGTGCCTCCCCGCCGCAGGTGCTGTCTCTCTAGCATGGGAGCTGATGGCGCCTTTCTGTGTCCCCACAGGTTCTTTCTGAGCACGGCTTCGGCCCCATCACTACCGACATCCGGGAGAGACAGACTTTCTACTACGCAGAAGACTACCACCAGCAGTACCTGAGCAAGAACCCCAACGGCTACTGCGGCCTTGGAGGCACTGGTGTGTCCTGCCCAATGGGCATTAAAAAATAATTTCTACCCACATGGTGGGCCCTTGAGGTTCCAGCAAAGTTGCTTTCAACAAATTGAGCAGTGCTTGTGTGATTCACAATCTTGGCGTTTTAGAATGTACAAAGTACAAAGGAATTTACAGAGATCTGGTTTCCTGAAGTATAATCTGCAGAGGTGTGAGGGCAAGTTGATAAATGTGATTTATTTCCTAATGAGTTATGATGGGAGCAGAGCTGTGCAGGTTCCTGTGTCTCATCTGGGGTCCGAGTGAAGGCAACAGGGATGCTGTGTTCACCCTTCTTGGTGGAAGCTGAGGTGTGAGCTGGGAGGTTGTTGGATAGGACGGGGGACCCCAGAAGTCCTTTATCTGTTCTCTCCTGCCTGCCAGTGCCTTACAGTTGGCAAACATTCGTAGCCTCTGACTTATTCACTGAAATCCGTCGCTTTACCAAACCTAGACATGCGAAAGAGGCTTTCTGTCCCTTTTCAGCCCTATTTGTGCAGAGAAGAGATGTGAGTCCGCCTGATGAATTAATGCTTTCCTCACAGCTATGAGAAATATTTGTTTTAATAAAAACCTACAGTCCAATAATGCAAACTGCCTGGTGTCTCCTCGGTTTTTGACTTGCTCAGGTTGGATATTTTTAAGTGCAGTAAGATGAACTTAAGGATTCTAAAGCACTTGAGAGGGAAAAAGCCTCAGAGCCATTTACCCGCAGATGGGAACAATTCGGCTTGAAATTGTTGGTGGACACGCACACTTGTAGCTCCTGGCAACCTCAGTAATAATAGTTGTTCTCCAGGTGCCTGTCACATCCCTCACATCACACACCATTCTAGTCAGAGCAGACACCTCCAATCCCTGCCCGTAAGAACCTTTATATTACGTAAGCAATACACATGTAAACAAAAGATGAAATAAGATGATGTCAGCTCCTGATGAGGGACGTGAAGGTGTTGAACAGGATAAGACAGTGCATTGTGTCTAGGGGCTGTGAGATTGTGTTCAGGGCTGTTTGAGCGAGGTTGGTCAGGGAGGCCTCTACGAGGTGGTGAGACTTGATGGATTAGTCCATTCTCGAATTGCCATAACGAAATACCTGATACTGGGTGATTGATGAAGAAGAGACGTGCAATTGGCTCACAATTCCACAGGCTGCACAGGAAGCGTGATTCTGGCATCTGCTCGGCTTCCAGGCAGGCCTCAGGAAGCTTACAATCATGGTGGAAGTGGGAGGGGGAGCAAGTGGGGTTGCCACATACTTTTCAATGACCAGATCGTGGGAGAACTGCATCACGAGAACAGCACTGAGGGATGGTCCTAACACCCAAGAAGCCGCCCCCATGGTCCAGTCCCCTCCCATTAGGCCTCACCTCCAATACTGGGGATTACAATTCAACAGGAGATTTGGTGGGAACACAGATCCAAACCGTATCATTTGAGAACCAGATGAACCAAATCAGCAGCCCCCAGCCTTTTCAGCACCAGGGACCAGTCTCGTGAAAGACAATTTTTCCACAAGTGGGTGATGGGAGGGATGATTCCAGCACAGGACACTCAGTGTGCACTTTATTACCGTTACCTTGTACTATATAATGAAATAATTATATAACTCACCATCATGTGGAATCAGTGGGAGCCCTGAGCTTGTTTTCCTGCAACTAGATGGTCCCAGCTGGGGGTGATGAGAGACAGTGACAGATTATCAGGCATCAGCTTCTCATAAGGAGCAAGCCACCCAGATTCCTCACATGTGCAGTTCACAATAGGGTTCACGCTCCTATGAGAATCTAATGCAGGCAGAGCGCAGGAGGTAATGTGAGCAATGGGGAGTGGGTGGAAATACAGATGACGCTTCACTCGCTCACCTGCCACTCACCTCCTGCTAGGAGGTCTGTTTCCTAACAAGCCACGGACCAGTACCAGTCCACAGCTCGATGAACTAAATGATTTTCAAGACCTAAAGGTGGCGGCAGGCTGGGAGTACACTAGTGGAAGTGGATGCTTTCCCATCAGAAGGGCCAGGAAGTCTAAATGGCCCAAATCAGGGAGTAGCTTGAGAGACAGAAAGTCCAGTGGGTGGGAATGGTGAGCCTGAGGAGGGTAGTGGAGAGAACTCTCAGTGAGGCGGTGGAACCAGGTCACAGAGCCTGCTAAGGATAAGATAATGGGCTTTTTAGTTTTTTCTATTTAATTGCTCAGCATTGGAGCATTTTACACACTTTCTCCATCATTTATTTTTAAGCGGAGCAACTGGATGGCTGGGAGTATGATATGTTTGTCAGAAGGCGGATGTGAGGTGGAGGTCATGCGATGAATCGCACAGCTTTGGCCATGCGAATTTCAGATGCTCCTCAGATGTCCCGGTGAGGATACGGAGCAGGAGAGTTGGTTGCATAGGTCTGGATCTTGGAAGGGATCAGTGGAGGAGAGATTTCAGAATCCCCAGCATGTAGATGGCGTTCGAGGCCATGGGACCAGCTGAGATCATTTAGGGAGAGACTGGAGAGAGAGAGAAAGGGTCTGAACTTTGATCACTGGGGCGTTCCAATATGCAGAGGTCTGGGAAAGAGGAAGCAAAGGAGAAGTGGAGAAGTGACACCTTTTCAAATATAAACTCACCAATGGAGAGTTCACAGCCCAACCGCCTCCTCTGGCTCTCACACTCCAGGCCACTCTCTGGCTTTCCAAATTGCCCCAGCCCAAGTGCTTCACAACTAGGGACAGCCCTTGTGCCCCAGAGCTGCTGAAATTATTCAACACGCCAGTCCTGAGCCTGTTCATTTTGCCTTCTCAGGGCAAGAGCCTGTTCACTCCGTCTCAGGGAAACCACAATAGAGGCTCTGACCACAGTTTCCACCCGCTCTGCTCTAGTTCTTCCCCTTCTCTTGAGACCTGTCAGTAACAAACTCTTAATAGCAACCATCTCTGGGTCTGTTGGCCTCATTAGACCTAAATAAAAACAGAACCTGTCAAAATATCGTGAGCTGGAGATACCGAATAACCGACAAAATCTCCATTTTAGCTCCCTGATCCATAGAGTCAAGTGTCCTGTACTCCCCACTCCCGATATGGTAAATAAAACAATACAGTTGTTCTGGGGGAATTTCAAATTTTGGTGGCCCCAGTGGCAAACCCAAATGATGCAGTGACAGCCCTATGTTGTCACCCTGTTTGGCAGATGAAATATTGTTTCCGTCTCCCAGTATTGCGTCATGCATAGGTTTCCTTCACATGTTCTGTCTCTCCTTCAAAGTCATTATGCAAAGTATTGAGCTGGGGCTGGGTACGGTGGCATACGCCTGTAATCCCAGCGCTTTGGGAGGCCGAGGCAGGCAGATCACCTGAAGTCAGGAGTTCAAGTCTAGCCTGGCCAACATGGTGAAACCCTGTCTCTTCTAAAAATACAAAAAAATTAGCTGGGCATGGTGGCAGGCTCCTATCATTCCAACTACTTGAGAGTCTGAGGCAAGAGAATTGCTTGAATCTGGGAGGCAGAGGTTGTAGTGAGCCGAGATCGCGCCACTGCTCTCCAGTCTGGGCAACAAGAGTGAAATTCTGTCTCAAGAAAAATAAATAAATAAAAATTGAAGTGAGCAGTTCACTTAGGGACATATGTTTGTTTAAGGTCTTAGAGCATCTTTTATGATAGGCATGATATGTCATTCTACTGCCCTTGATGACCCTCCTGCCCCCAACTTCTAGCAGAAAGTGCTGATAGATTGCCATGCTCTTTCCAGCCAAGCCCAGGCACACCTTCAGAATTCCTCTACACCAAGGACCTTGGGCAAGCACTGCCAACCGATCATGGTTTCCAGGTCAAACCCAGAGCTTTCCTTCCAGGTAAAACCAGAATTGCTGACTAAAGCTTTGGATGTAATATGTCAGCCCGGGGTAAATTCACTAAAAAGATTGATCATCTAAAGAACAGCTTAGATGTCAGCCACAGCATGGTGATCAGAGAGAGCCTGAGACAGATGCTTCGCTGAAATCTGGAAATTCCACAGAGGCTGGTGGAGTGATCAGCTGGAGTTAAGTCAGACAGACCTGAGGGAAATGCTAGCTCTGCCTCTTATATATTGAATGAGCCTGCAGAAGTCACATGATTATTCTGAGACTCAGTTTCTTCGTGTGTAAAATGGCGATAATCATACCCATGTTGCAGGGTTTGGGGAAGATTACATACGTGCGTGTGTGTGTGTGTGTGTGTGCGTGTGTGTGTAGGTAGACTTGGGTACAGAGCCTGAGACACAGTAAGTATTCTCTACATGGTAGATATTATTATTGCCTTCTCATCAAGGAAAAAAGGGGATTATTTGGTAAGACCTTTAAAAAAATCTCATTCACTTTTGTGAATCCACCCTGTCCCCAGAATGATCAGTGACAATTTCCAAACATGATTACTTTGTCTGAATAGATTATAAAATTTCCAGGGACCGATATTTTTTAACCATATGTTGACTCTGGGGTGACCTTTTTGCTACCCAAAGTTTAGGTATTTCCATCAGAGAGCAGGCTACATGTTCATTGGAATGTGCTCTGAGTTCCATATGGGACACTGGGATGCCAAGAACATGTCTGCCCTGACGTCGGCAGTGGGCTGGAGGCAGATGTCCCTGGGTACTCACTGGTCACTTAGTCTGTTCATCTTCACAGAAGACGGCATCTCTGCGGGCCCCTTACCTCCCTCGCTGTACAGTGGCACTTCCACAACCAAGTGGTCCCCTTGGAGGTGGAAACAAAAGGAAAAGCTCTGGATGGAGGTTTCCCAGCTCCTCGATAATCTGTAAAAATCTCTGACGCATCAGAGGAGTTTGTCACTAACATGAAAAGCTGCTTCTCATCACTCTTTTATTCATTCAGCCATTAATTAATTCTCTCAACATGTATTTATTCAGTTCCAGCTGTGTGCCAGGGTCTGTGCTAGATGCCGGGGGCATCATGTCAGCCAAATATAGTTGCTGGCCTCATAAAAATCGTTCTAGTGGGGAAATTGGATAATAAACGAGCAGTGTCACAACTCCCTAATTACAAACAGTGGATATGCCCTCAGGGAAGATCATTGTGTACTGTGACAGAGTAAAAATGAGCGGATCCGATCAGAGCTGAAGGAGTTGCATTTGGGCTGAATTCTGAAAGATCCATGAGAATCAACACGCAAAGCAGGTGCAAAGATTCAGGTGGGAGAGTGACACATTCCAGGCAGAGGCATGTGCAAAGGCCCTGGGGTGGAGCCTTTGAAAGAAGGAACCTAAGAGCTGTGGTGATGGTGCCATGTGTATTAATGCTGCTTTTATTTTTTTAAAAGGACTTAACTTTTTAGAGTAGTTTTAGGTTCACAGCAAAATTGAGAGGAAGATACAGAAATTTCCATATGCCCCCCAACACCCTCACATGCTCAACCTCCCCAACTCTCAATGTCCTCCACCAGAGTGGAGCATTTGTTACAATTGACGAACCAAATTGACACATCATTATCGCCCAGCGTCCATAGTTTACGTTTGGGTTCATTCTTGGTGTTATACAGTCTGGGTTTGGACTCTATCCATTGTTAGAGTATCATGCAGAATAGTTTCCTTGACCAAAATATCCTCTGT